CCATGTCCGGCCATGGCTCTGCAGCTGTTAGCAGCGTGGCCAATAGCCCTTTTATCAGTATTCTGGCCTACTGTGGCAGCAGCATTCTCATGACCACGACCAACAAATACGTTGTCAGTGGAACGCATTTCAATCTCAACTTTTTCCTACTGGCCGTACAGGTATGTGCTTTGGCTACCGGTTGCGGTTCTCTGACGTTTCTAGTCTATTGTTTGCATCCTTGCTATTCAGACGGGCAAGTCGCTTGGTGTCATTTCATTTCGTGACTTCAATTCTGACGAAGCACGCAAATGGTTCCCAATTACCCTCTTGTTGATCGGCATGATCTACACTTCTACCAAGGCTCTCCAATTTTTGTCTATTCCCGTCTACACTATCTTCAAGAATTTAACCATTATCCTTATCGCCTATGGCGAGGTTCTCTGGTTTGGCGGCTCAGTTACACCCATGGCCCTGCTTAGCTTTGGGCTCATGGTCCTGAGTTCCGTGATTGCGGCCTGGGCTGACATCCAACACGCACTGGCCTCGTACGGCGGTGGAGATGGTGGGCTCGGCGGTGTAAGCGGCGAAGCGGCCGAGAAAATCAGTACTCTGAACGCTGGCTACATGTGGATGATGATCAACTGCTTCTGTTCGGCCAGCTACGTTCTCGGCATGCGTAAGCGCATCAAACTGACCAACTTTAAAGATTTTGACAGTAAGTATGCTCGTCCTAGCCTGGCAAAAATTGACGGCTGCAGCCATGTTCTATAACAATCTACTCTCTATCCCTGTTCTTCTGGCTTGCTCAATTTTGTTGGAGAATTGGTCTTCGACCAATCTGCTGCTCAACTTCCCCCAAGAGACGCGCAACTTCATGATCAGCTCCATGATCATCTCTGGCCTCTCAAGCATCTTCATCAGCTACACTTCTGCATGGTGCGTACGTGTTACGTCGTCGACGACCTACTCCATGGTCGGCGCTTTAAACAAGCTGCCCATAGCCATTTCAGGCTTGGTGTTCTTTGACGCCCCTGTAACAGTTGGAAGCGTCAGCGCCATCTTCGTAGGCTTCATCAGCGGTCTCGTCTACGCCGTAGCGAAGATGTGGCAAGGCAAAGGCAAAGGCGGCGGTGTGCGGGAACAGGGCAGCAGTTCCATTCTGCCCACGACCAGCGCCAGTGTGCAAAGCATGAGGGATTCCTTGAAGTCATGAAGTCGTTAGACCGGTGGCACCGGAGTTTGTTCACGGAAATTGAATGCGTGTAGATTAGCTTCATTTGCATAAGAAATATACTCAAAAGTGCATGGGTAATTGATTTTTTTAACTAAAAATGATCAAATCAGTGATCGAAAGACCTAGCATGGAGCCTCGCATGTCGTCGTGCAAGCATGGGGCTTGAGCCCACCGTCATGATGGTTCCGAATCCTCCCGCTGTCGAAGAGGGCGTAGCCAAAGTGGAGGCTGCCGATGAGAGGACAGACACCACCGTCGAAGTCGAACTCTCCATTGTCGATGAAGCCGTGAGGTCGACATATTGCGTTTCAACCTGCGTGATGGTGAAGGTCACGACGTCCAGGCCTTGAGCTTGCAGATCCGCCGATGCTGACGTTACCTGATTAGAGGTAGATGAGGCGGTCGCAGACTCGGAGGATGCGATAGATGATGACGCCGTAGTCGCTGCCGCGATCTTTTCCGCTGCAGAAAAAACCCGAAGTTGTTGGGTAGCGTCCCAGGTCAGATACTGCAGCTCCTGGTCCATCTGCTTCGCCTTTTGATATGCCGCGGGACTGAAATCCTTGAGCGGAGCGCAGGTGGGAACGGGCGCCGGAGTGCGCGCGCCGCCAGGCGGACATGCGTCCATGCTTCCCGTCGGCGTTGGCATTCCTATGTATTGCGTCTTGTCGCCTTGGATGCGGACAACCGGCGGCGAGAGCGTGTAGGCTCCGCGGCTCTTGTACTCCTTGACAGCGTCCGTCTGGCCGTTCTCCTGCGTCAATCTCTTGCCCTTTCCCGGACCCGGGTCGGACGTGACGATTTCAAAATCCGCACACGTTGTGTAGTACTCGTCCTTGCCGTGTGGATAAATGCAGTCCATGCCGGGGTTTGTGGGCCACTGCCAGATCCAGTACGTCGTCAGCTTTCCCGCCGGCTGGGATGTTGGGATCTGCACGTTAGATTCGCACCACTGCTCAATGTGCGATTGCGGCTGGCCGGGGACGTGGTTGGGGTACAACACCTGGCGCGTGAGAGAAATGTTTCCACAATTCATCTCGTAACACCGTCCGTCGTCAAAGTTTTGGGCAGCCAGCAGGAAGCCTTTGCCGTTGCCGCCGGATCCGTCGGCCGTCCATTCCAACACGTCCACCATTTTGTCGTCTTCTGACGGCTGTGTTGTGCCATACACGAATACCGTCCCGCCCGCCTTGGGCTTGCCGGCTTGGCTCCATGGAAGGCTGACGTGCCCATTCTCAAGATACTTCAGAGCTACCCAGCTGCCGGGTTGAACCTGGAGCATCGGGTAGTCTGGGTTAGTGTAGTTTGAGGTACGTTGAGCAGGGTGACAGACATGATCAGATGAGCTGAGACGGATGCGTGCGGATTCATCAGAGGGAATCTGGTAGCTCATCGAGAATCCATTGAAGGTGCTGTCGGTTCGGGCAACATAACCCCGTGAAAAGCCCCGGCTGCCGGTGTAGCTTCCGTTGGGGCCAATGACCTGGTACTCTTCTACCCACGAGTGGGATTGAGCTAGACCTGCTAGGACAGAGGCCAGGAGAAGCGTGCGTGCAAACATCGTTGCTGTAAGGTTGGTTGCTGAAAGATAATGGAATCTTGGTTCTGCTTGAGTGGGTATCGAGTCGAGAGTGAGCGAGAAGAAAATGCTGAAAGCCGTAGGAGAGTAATGTAGAGGTGCAAATAGGACCAGCCCTGGCAAAATAGGTATATAGCAGGAGACTCCTCTCAACGAAGTGAACGGTGGATATCCAGTGAAGCGAATGACAGAGATTCAGAGCGAGAGAATAACGTTAACCTGAGAGGGAGGAAGCAAGAAAGGAAAGAGGAGGGCAGTGAATATACCTTACACCAACCATGCCCTCCTAACAGGTTTTCGCTGCCAGTGAACAGTTTAGCTTGTGGAAACCACATGGCGGCAGCAGTCAGAAGCATCTACTTCACTTGATAGGCCGGGAAGGCAGCATGTTAACTCCGCACGCGCGACATGCACCTCTTACTGGGGGATGAGGTTTCACACCACGGGCCGTTTCGGAACGGCGCGCTCTAGAGTCAGTTTGATTGGTCACATGCCCTAGCACCCGTTAACCCCGGCCTGTCACTGGGCGCTAAACGTCGATTATTTTCTCCGGCCGGATGAGCGCTTGTCGTGCAATGGCGCGCGCTTGCATGCGGTTCCAAAGATAACCTTGGCTAGATCATTCTCAAGGGATTAGCTAAGAATAGATGCGAGGGAACTTCACTCTTTTCCTTCCCTGGACACGCCCATCTACAAGATTCCACGAGTAAGTACTGCACTTATCAAGGCTTGTACCAGCCAAAGACCTCGTCACATTTCTCGACTACAACATTGATGTAATCCATCCAAATATCGACGTATGTTTGTTGTTCATTTTATGTCTCTATTCCATAGTTCATCACACCTCCTACCAAGCTTGTGTTCAGACCCTATTGGGCATTCGAAGGCGCAGCTAACAATGGCTGTCCTGATGGCCCGTTTCGACATGCAAGATGTATTCTGGCAGTAATGCAGGCGATGGACGCCGCAAGTGACTAGCTACAAACTTGCTTGACCCTGCCAGGCCTTTTGATTCAAGAAGCCTAGCATTCCGGAAACTAACTGTGGGGAGATGCGTCAAGGCTTTTGACGCAATTTCTGGCCATTTGCCTCTTGAAGAACATACCCAGACCGAGGAAAAGGTTCTTTGCAGCAAGTTCCTCGCCCAGGCTCCCAATTTTTCTTCGTCCATTCAACTGACTACTGGCCAGCAATTCTTGCAGCAGCTGACTTTGATCAGATCCTGCTGTAGAAAAGGCATGGGAACCGCGCGGGGAATTTCGAGTTATGCTATCGATCCGCAGAGCGCTTTCGACCATTGCATTGGTTTCGACTTTGTTCATAGAGCCTCGGATATTTGTCGGCTTGTTCCATCGTCTGGGTGGCAACAGAAGTTCCATGGCGCCACCAGGTGCTTTGGCTCAATTGCGTGCCTGTTTCCTTCATGAAATTAGCAAACAGGACAAGACCTGTTCTTCTTTGGCGCTGATGAGGATAGGCAGAACACGGCGCAACAGCACCCAACCGGTCCGGGGGTATGCCTCCAACGAAGGAACAAGCGTCAAAACCTACTCAGCGTGTTCCTCCTTCCACCTCATTTTCCTCCTCCACTCATGTTTCTCTATCTTACTTAAGGGTTCCCCCCTTGTTTTTACTCTCTCGTGTACCTATCTATACTCCCTATCTATACTCCCTATCATCTCCATCATTCTTCCTCTCTCCTGAACCCGTTCCAGCAGCCGCCTGTCACTATTCACTCTGGTCTCCCTCTTGTTTCCCAAGCATTCAGCCGCAAAACCAATGCAAAATATCTAATGCTGAACTACAATTCCCGGAAAGCCCGAGCAGGTTCATGTCGAAAGGTCTGAGCATGATGCATCCTCTTGAATCAACTCGTGCGAGCAGGAAAGAATTCAACAACAAATAAAACTTTGATAAACGATTGCCTACTCCAACAGGGTTGCCAGAAACCCAAATCTTTGATATATTTCAAGCAACCCTTTCAAAAAGGCTACTGATTAGACAGTAATTTATTTGTGAACTTTTCCCTATGATAAACGACATCTACATACAATGAGGAAGCCTGAGATCAAGTATTCTAAGCAAGTATGTGTGCGCAAAAGTATAACCCGCCCACTTGAACAAGGAACAAATCTTCAAAGAAAAAATCATCCGATTCATGAACAATGAACATCTCGCAGAAGTGTTCCATAAAAAAAGCCAGACTGACGAGGGTGGGACTCGAACCCACGAGGATTGCTCCACTAGTAATATGATGTAATTACGGTGAGGATAATTCCTTAGCGTAGTTTACCTGAAACTAGCGCCATAACCACTCGGCCACCTCGCCCTTCATATCACTCAAATAGTGAGGATCAAAATATATAAATAAGGCAAACAGAGATTTTATACGGTCGTGGACATGACTGATATGGCCTTGGCGCATAATCATCAAGTATGTTAAACTGAGATGTTTGAGAGCAGGAATGAGCTCCGTCCGTTTGTTCGTGCTGGTTTCGCTCCTCCCCTTCCCCCTTTACCGCCCGGAAAGGAGTGATTGATTGATATTCCAGAATTTTGTAATCATCTCTGTGCGTACGGGTTAGAAATTTTGGCTGGATTCAATGTTATTGGTATTGGACGGACAATGATAACATCGTAAACAAGAAAGCATACCATGTATTTCGCTGCGGGAATTCCTTTTGGCCCTCTGTATGAGTATCGTAGGAGGAAGTCGTCTCTAGACTCGTATTATATATTTTGTGGTAGAATGGTGACAAATTAAACGATGAAAACTTGAAGAGACATTGCGAGCTAGCACGATGCGAATCATTCAGAGTTGGCTATGTTTCCTTTTTGGCAGGAAGCAAACAATTCCCTCCTTTACTCTGCCTTTGGGCAATGGATAACTTAGAAGATGGGCTTATCCATTTCTAGGCACCAATTTCTATATGCTCTGTGTGAGCCAACAACTTTGTTCTATGGCTGATGAATGAACATCATTCTAGATTCCTGAATATGGTTTACCGCTCGTCAATTGCTGTGGAACCTCTTACCTTCTGACAGCCCATGAAATAATTTTAAGAGGACGAAAGAATGACTATCGGTGGATCTAGCAGCTCAACATAGTCTCTGTTCTCCTCTGTCACTCGGCAGTCAGTTACGGATTGTCTGCGTTTGGAAACGTCTAGCCGGTGATTCACCTTGAAAGCGGGATTAGCGACGCGCAGAGCTGTACATCAACCAGCTCCCTCCATCCGAATCTATGACGTTCTTCCAAACCATTGGAGAAGCATTTGTTAATCTACAGGAATTTCCGCGTGGCATTTTGCCCAACCCAGTCTCTCCATCAAAGGATCAAGGCCAGCCTTCCCATTTTGGGATCGGGTGTGGAGCAGACGGCGATTGTGGCGAACACAAACTTTTTAGAAAGCCTAATTCCACCCGACATCTTGGCGACTGACTCGTGCATTGTAAGTGACCATATCGGTCTGAGGTACCGTGACAGATCAGCCAACTTTTTTTTGAACAATGTGGCGAATGGGCATGCTCGACTGAAATGAATCAGGAACAATCCACTGAGGTCGTTGGGTGTCACGGAACCATATCGCAGCCACGTGACCCGGCACCTCACCTCCAGCCCATAGCGTAGTTAACTCTTCCGTAAGGCACAACACAGTTATAAGGATAGCATAGTCCGCGATGTGATATTGGGAACATGGGGGCGGGACCTCCTTGGTACTTTTGAACAATACCGTGTGTTAAGATCTACAACTCTACAAGCCGGCAGGAGTGCAGTCAAAGAATGTGGGCTAGGCTCTGGATTTCTCTTTTTAGGCCTGAGCTCGAAGATTGGAGTAGCTGTTCAAGGGCAAAGCTTTGATGTTTGTGCACAGAAATGCTCCTGCCGAACGAGGTTGCTATGAAGACTTTAGTAGGATTACGCTCGATATTGATAATGCAGCAAACGAGCTGGGGTGGTCATTGATGCTCATCCAAGACTCGTTCGGTTTTACATTCGAGATAAGACTCAGGAAGCAACTAAAATAAGTCGGGGAGCGTGTTTCTCGCTGAGCAAGTTGCTGGATAGAAGGACAGAGCAGTGATTAGAATGCTGGGCTGATTTTGCTATTTATTCGTCACAGTGCACTATTTCCAGACCAACAGGCACCATAGCCAGACCATGGAGTTGCACCAGGGTTGCGGTGAAGAAAGGGAGCGGACCATGCTGACCCTGAAACCACGTATCCAGATTTCAGAACCAGACACGCCCCAATCATCAACGTTTTCGATACCAGCCAACCAGCAAGCCACCCAACCACGACAGATCTGATGAGGCTACAACAAGCCGAAAATTCACCAGCCTTTCTCACAACCGAAAACTCGATAGATCCATTGATCCCCTGCAGCCTGCAAGCTTGGTTTCTCTGATAAGCACTGCTGAGCCAGTACTAAAGGAGTCGTGAGGCACGCGTTGAGTAAGAGGTGCAGCACGCTGACGCCTCGCGACAATTTCCACAAAATGATGGTTCTCGTAGACTATTGCGGTTTCTAGTTAACGAAAGGGGCCAGCCACAACCCACATACGTCAGATGAGGCTGACCCGCTGAGCGAGTTTCTAAGAATGCATCGCTCAGGAGGGATAACTACCGGTGCATATCTGTGGGTCGTCTGCGCCTCGCAATAATTTGGTGGTGGGGTACTTGATTAAAGCAGTAGGGTGGACGAACAGCGGCTCATGTTTGATGTGCAAGTCCCGGCGAACAGGTACGACCGCGAAACAATGAGTGAAGGATCAATTCGCTTCGAGCGAATGCATGTATGCCGCCATGATCGATTTTGGACAATTTGTCTAAAGCTCCTCATGTTCACATGTGTCGAGAACTCTGCATATGTATCTTGAGTTGCAAATCTTTCTTCCCTGATCATTTATTGAGTTGAGTCTGGACTTCAAACTCATATCGGTAGGGTATCTGACTCTAGAATCAAATCAATAGGGCAACTGACTGCAGAGTGTGAAGTCTGTTGCCACGCGCCTCCCAACTGCAGACATAGGATCATGCAGTGCGGTCCTACTTAAATCGACCAGGTATTACCAAGTAGCTCAGCAGCCACTCCCGGTTTCTCCGATCATCTTTCCATAGCCGTCAGACCCCGGTGAGCCTCGGCTGCATTTGGATGAGCGTTAACACGTCACACTACGCGTCAGCATCAAGATCTTGCAGAACATCTATCCAATTAGGCTTTGCGGTGGCACTGATCTCTCATGCAATTAATCGAACATACAAAGAGGCGCGAATGGTTTTTTTCATGGCAACAAACTCTTGCTATGCTCCAGTGTACGCGATGCATGAGGGCAGACCCGACAGACCGGCATTAATTAATAACAAATGACGCTAAGACAGTTAGGAGCAAGGGATTTGTGTTTCTCGGGGTCTTACATTGAGTAAATCCCCCGACCCAAGCTGCCGGGGCGGCTGCTAAGTAGGGTTCCTACGGGGTCCTCACAGGGTCTTGATTAATGGAGTGATGATGACGGAATTGGTGGGGTTTTAATGAGCTTGCCTCGGTTATGTCCCGGCATCGCCCGACGTCGAATAGAATGCCTTGACCGTTGTCAAGTATGAATTTTCCATGTGCTATGCCAATCGTCAAAGAATATGTACATCATCTCCTCGTTTAGTGCCCCGGCCAACCCGTTGACGACTCCGGCGTCACATGTTGTACCGGCCGCGTCACCGACCGTGTGTTTGTGATCCGCCGATTCTTGCCCCTTCCTTTGATACCCTTGTTGCAGTTCTTGTAGAGTCCGCTAAAGTACTCCCACATTTCCCGTTCCCATGCTTCCACCGTGCTGCCCTCTTGTACCGTCTCGAAGCGGGCCCGTAGCCGGCGGATTGTGTCGACATGGAATTTGTTTTGGTGGCTCTTGAGGTTTCCTAGCTGGGTGAACTGCTTGTAGCAGTTGTCCAGCTTGCAAACAAAGGGTTTGGTCGCTGTATGAACAATCTTATGCGCACGAACATTGCCGTGTTGTGCAAAGGTCTTGCCGCAGATGTCGCAATGGTATGGCCGCTCGCCCGTGTGCCGCCGCTCATGCGTCTTGAGGTTCCCAAGCTGGCTGAAACGCTGTCCACAGCTTGGCTCCTTGCACACAAAGGGCTTGATACCTGTGTGGGCTCGAGAGTGCAGCTCAAGATGTGTCTTTTGGTAGAAAGTCTTGCCGCAGTCGGGCACTTCGCAGTGGTACCGTTTTCGTGTTTTGCTAGATGATCGCACCGGCCTTTGCTTTGGCTCGGTAGACTGGGCTTTTGATTGGATGGCCCGCATGAGAATATCAATGTCGGTAGAAAACTCGACCGGCTTAGCCGAAGTGGGGGTGGGTGGTGGGGGCTGCTTGGCCACCTCGGCCACATACTGCTTGGACATGTCCTGAGGATACTGGACCTCGTTGGGGAAGAAAGCAGCAGGATGGATGGGTGAGGGCTTCTCTGTCTTGACAAAAGCCTCGTTCTCAAGGTTTGTGGTTAAACCCGGAGGCTTGATTTGGTGATGGTGCAGAAAAGTCATTGGCATCGAGTCTTGGGGCATCCAGGCAAGTGAGTTAAATCCAGAACTATCGAAGTTTGCTGCCAGGTTGCACGATTCGACATAGGCTGGGTCGTACGCCGACGTGGACACGGGGGCAGCAGCGAGCATTGTCGTGTCCGGGGCCAGGCTCATGGGATCTATGGCCATGGCATGGTGGTCCTGATGGTGGACATAGGGAGCAGCCGCCACTCCAGTCTCGGGACGGAGGTCCATCGAGTAGCCAGGCACGGCCTGGCCTACGGGCGGATGGTGCTGAGGATGATACGAAGGCTGACGGAACAGCGAGGGATGATGTCCCAAGGGCAAGACGGCAGCCATGATGGATGACGTCCTGCACCAGACAGTCGGTCATACAGCGAGATGTCAGAGAATGGCAGCGCGGCAGGGTCAACCGTAGCGGCAGCACGGCAGCACGGCAGCACAGCAGCAACAGTGAGTTATAATACTGGGAGCATGCATGATATTATACCAAGTAACGCTGCTACGAGGAGTGCAGGCGGGCTGGAGGGGCCAGCAAGCGAGACGACAATCAAAGGCGTTGTCGCCATTGGCCGGGCTAGGCCGACGGGCGGCGCCTGGCTGTCGGGCAAAGACGCGCCCCCGGTGGTCGGGATCAGAGTGATCGGCCACCCGGGATGTCGGCCCTGCGTTAATCTCCACCCCCAGAGCTCCACCCCCGCCATTGGCGCCTCCACCTTATCTCTTCGGGCAATCCGGTGCTCCTAAGCAATCGATGGCCGCGCCAGCCTCGATGGCCGT